CATGCTAGTTCTGCTGATAAATGGCCAACAGTTATAACCAACAGTAGAAAATCCTTCTTGGCTAAACAAACCAAACCAAAAGAAAACCAGAGGGAGAAACACCCCCACCCTACAAAAATACGGAAACAGACTCGGCTGAAAGAACACTTGACCCAGGGAAACGATTCTTAAAATAATACCTCTAAGGAATCAATAACACCTTCATTGACCGGTACCACGTGACACAAGGTGGTCAGTTCAGGGACACTAAGATCCGTGTTAACTGTCCGTATATTGAGGATTACAATATGACTGTTACTTTCTGTTGTTGGTTATGCACCTGTCACACAAAACGCACACATTTCTTCTATTTTATGGGGTTTTTTTCCATATATTTTTTGTTTGAAAACTTTATCATTAAAGCTGTTGATGTTTCATAAGCAAAATCTCAGCACTCCCAGCCGTCGGGTTGTGGCGACACACAGTTAGTCATGTAAGAGAAGCTGGCCATCTGATCCTCCTAGCAATATTCTGCGGCTCTCAAGAGACCAGATGGATTGTGTAGTCAGGTTCGATAACCTGATTAGATGTGGGTGATCGCAACCCGGCGGCTTGGGGCGTTCATCATAATGCCAGTCACTGGTCAGACTAACAACTAGTCTCTGAAATGAACATATTTTACTGAAAAAAGTTCATAGTAAAAAAAATATAAAATATAATGAAAAGGAGCCCTGAGACTTTCTTCATTTTCAGACCCTGAAGCTGAGGAAATCTAGACTTGTCACATTTTCTAGACATGTGTGGGCTTTCTTGGATATATTTGCTTCAGGGTCTGTACGACAGACTAGTCACTGGTGTGCATGGTCTGTGTTCAGTTGCTATATCAAAGATATTGGAATAAATACAAAATGTGTTTCTAATCCGTTCCCTTTGAAATGGGATTCAGGAATCCCAGAGAAAACCCCTAAAGAACAAAACCTTGTACTATGTAAAGTTCACACAGTGCTCCTTGCCAACCTGTTGAGACCGCATTATTACCAGCAAGAAAATAGGCCCCAAATAACCTATGCTTGTTCAGCTACTACATGGGTCTAGTCTAGTGGCTCGACTTGCTCACTGGATCCATGTCAGTCACTGGATTGTCTGGTCCAGTCTCGATATTCACAAACGGTGAGGGTACAAGATACAAATACCATCCGCCAGCATTAGAGTCAGTGTTATAAACATAAAATTAAATAAGAACTTGAGATAATGTATGTAAATTAGTGTAAATGAAGTTTTAGAAATGCAATTTCTTAAACATGGAAACCTGTATTTTTCGTAACAAACACTTTAGATAAGTGTCAGTAAATAAGTGACTTACACCCATGTAACATATGTTATATTTGGGATTACAATTTCTTAGTAAAATATAGATTTTAGTACTTTTGTTGGGTTGAGTCCCATCCGGGATTCGAACCCATACCGTCAGAGACAGGCACCTAATCGCCAGCATACAACCCATTCAGCCACAGCGGCTTCGGCTTCGGGCTTCGCGGCATGAATCTGTACGTAACTAAGAAAGTGTAATCCCAAATATAACATGTTACATTTGACCATTTTCCAAATGGTATTGTGAAGTCATGACTTACACCCATGTACACATAAGCAAATGTGTTCAATGTTTCTACAACACAGTTACTAGGGTTTGGACATCAAAGTATTTTTTCTTCCTATTTTCATGTAAGTTCTTTAATGGTTTTCTCTTAATTTGCTTGCATTGCCTTTTTGTCTTGTGCCAAGTATAAAGATAAAAACAGGAGAGCGGTGGTATGAAGCGGTGCATCGTACGTGTTTCAGCAAATCACCATTGACGTCCACCTGCCTTCACCATGTTGGAAGTATACAGTGCGAACAAGCATGTCACGCCATGATGAATACACATGCTTGTATAGACAGCCCAGTGTACACTCGGAGCACTGCTCTACATTGTCGGTACCTATCCCAACCTAATGCGAAAATACATGGTCAAGATTGTACAGTTACTGTCCAGCAGTATTGAGAATGGTGTAAGTTCAGAGGCATTTTGCAGCAATTGCAGAACACCTAATGACCACTCTGGTTCATGACATGTTATTCTCGAAGACAAACTGGTAAGCGTGATGCTTTCATAGCCTAGGTCCAAGCCCACAGACAAGACATTATCCCCAGTCTACAGATGGTATAACAACCTGGGTTTAACATAGACCTCCTGAAGTAACAGTGACATGTCTACCTGTTTCAAATTATCAACAGGCTTTTCCTTTCCCTGACACTGTGTCCTTGAAGAATTTATATGGAACAGTTTAACGTTTTCAAAATATTCACTTCTGAGATTGTTCACTGGCCAGGGCACACAACTGATCTTATGGATGCAATTCTAACTCAGGACCTACGTCAAAATCTTTATGCAAATGGGTTCAATACTGACTCCTGCTGGTTTCCACGGTTTCCAACAAGCCAGGATTTGAAGCCAGGCTGATAGGAGCCAGGAGCCAAGGTTTTTGTGACGAGATTTTACAGAACTGTACTCATTCTGTGCCTCGGGTTCCAAGCTACTTTGATCAGTATTCAAGTTATATCCCTGCCTGCCAACTGTGGCGTCTGTTGTGGTCTGCTGTGTCAAGTGAGTGTGTTATATCCCTGCCTGCCAACTGTGGCGTCTGTTGTGGTCTGCTGTGTCAAGTGAGTGTGTTATATCCCTGCCTGCCAACTGTGGCGTCTGTTGTGGTCTGATGTGTCAAGTGAGTGTGTTATATCCCTGCCTGCCAACTGTGGCGTCTGTTGTGGTCTGCTGTGTCAAGTGAGTGTGTTATATCCCTGCCTGCCAACTGTGGGGTCTGTTGTGGTCTGCTGTGTCAAGTGAGTGTGTTATATCCCTGCCTGCCAACTGTGGCGTCTGTTGTGGTCTGCTGTGTCAAGTGAGTGTGTTATATCCCTGCCTGCCAACTGTGGCGTCTGTTGTGGTCTGATGTGTCAAGTGAGTGTGTTATATCCCTGCCTGCCAACTGTGGCGTCTGTTGTGGTCTGATGTGTCAAGTGAGTGTGTTACATCCCTGCCTGCCAACTGTGGCGTCTGTTGTGGTCTGCTGTGTCAAGTGAGTGTGTTATATCCCTGCCTGCCAACTGTGGCGTCTGTTGTGGTCTGATGTGTCAAGTGAGTGTGTTACATCCCTGCCTGCCAACTGTGGGGTCTGTTGTGGTCTGATGTGTCAAGTGAGTGTGTTACATCCCTGCCTGCCAACTGTGGCGTCTGTTGTGGTCTGATGTGTCAAGTGAGTGTGTAATATCCCCCCCTGCCAACTGTGGGGTCTGTTGTGGTCTGCTGTGTCAAGTGAGTGTGTTATATCCCTGCCTGCCAACTGTGGCGTCTGTTGTGGTCTGATGTGTCAAGTGAGTGTGTTATATCCCTGCCTGCCAACTGTGGCGTCTGTTGTGGTCTGATGTGTCAAGTGAGTGTGTTACATCCCTGCCTGCCAACTGTGGCGTCTGTTGTGGTCTGATGTGTCAAGTGAGTGTGTAATATCCCTCCCTGCCAACTGTGGCGTCTGTTGTGGTCTGCTATGTCAAGTGAGTGTGTTATATCCCTGCCCGCCAACTGTGGCGTGTTGTGGTCTGCTGTGTCAAGTGAGTGTGTTATATCCCTGCCCGCCAACTGTGGGGTCTGTTGTGGTCTGCTGTGTCAAGTGAGTGTGTTATATCCATGCCTGCCAACTGTGGCGTCTGTTGTGGTCTGCTGTGTCAAGTGAGTGTGTTATATCCCTGCCTGCCAACTGTGGCGTCTGTTGTGGTCTGATGTGTCAAGTGAGTGTGTTATATCCCTGCCTGCCAACTGTGGCGTTATATCCCTGTTGTGGTCTGCTGTGTCTGCTGTGTCAAGTGAGTGTGTTACATCCCTGCCTGCCAACTGTGGCGTCTGTTGTGGTCTGCTGTGTCAAGTGAGTGTGTTACATCCCTGCCTGCCAACTGTGGGGTCTGTTGTGGTCTGATGTGTCAAGTGAGTGTGTTACATCCCTGCCTGCCAACTGTGGCGTCTGTTGTGGTCTGATGTGTCAAGTGAGTGTGTTATATCCCTCCCTGCCAACTGTGGGGTCTGTTGTGGTCTGCTGTGTCAAGTGAGTGTGTTATATCCCTGCCTGCCAACTGTGGCGTGTTGTGGTCTGCTGTGTCAAGTGAGTGTGTTATATCCCTGCCTGCCAACTGTGGGGTCTGTTGTGGTCTGCTGTGTCAAGTGAGTGTGTTATATCCCTGCCTGCCAACTGTGGCGTCTGTTGTGGTCTGCTGTGTCAAGTGAGTGTGTTATATCCCTGCCTGCCAACTGTGGCGTCTGTTGTGGTCTGATGTGTCAAGTGAGTGTGTTATATCCCTGCCTGCCAACTGTGGCGTCTGTTGTGGTCTGCTGTGTCAAGTGAGTGTGTTATATCCCTGCCTGCCAACTGTGGCGTCTGTTGTGGTCTGCTGTGTCAAGTGAGTGTGTTATATCCCTGCCTGCCAACTGTGGCGTCTGTTGTGGTCTGCTGTGTCAAGTGAGTGTGTTATATCCCTGCCTGCCAACTGTGGCGTCTGTTGTGGTCTGCTGTGTCAAGTGAGTGTGTTATATCCCTGCCTGCCAACTGTGGGGTCTGTTGTGGTCTGATGTGTCAAGTGAGTGTGTTACATCCCTCCCTGCCAACTGTGGGGTCTGTTGTGGTCTGCTGTGTCAAGTGAGTGTGTTATATCCCTGCCTGCCAACTGTGGCGTGTTGTGGTCTGCTGTGTCAAGTGAGTGTGTTATATCCCTGCCTGCCAACTGTGGCGTCTGTTGTGGTCTGCTGTGTCAAGTGAGTGTGTTATATCCCTGCCTGCCAACTGTGGGGTCTGTTGTGGTCTGCTGTGTCAAGTGAGTGTGTTATATCCCTGCCTGCCAACTGTGGCGTCTGTTGTGGTCTGATGTGTCAAGTGAGTGTGAACACATCTCATGAAATACAATTTCAGGATAGTGGGGAAAAAAACAAGTTAAAAACATGAAGAGTGATTGTTTATATCCCGTTTGTTTAGGCAACAGTTGCAACATTTCAACAAGGTTTGACTGACATCAGTTCCACGACCTGGAGCTGGATCCTGGAGCTGGAGCCAAGGAATATTTGGTGGATCTAACACAGGACTGTGCACAACTGTGTGATGCACGGTTAAATAGTGTACATGCTATTATACAGATTTACCTGGAGTCCTGTATTTGAGGGTCCCTGGGACTCATATTCTTAATTTCCATGGGTCCTGGTATTATTATTAATACTATGTTGCAATATTGTAATACAGTTACTGTTATTGTATTGTGTAGCATGATCATCACATTGTTACAGTAATTACATTGCAAATGATACCATGGCCCGGCTAGTAGCAGACTCCGTGATAACTTAATTGTATACTTGATCGAATTTATAACAAAAAGTATTTGGACTTTTTCTGCGTCTCTGTGGATGCGCTAATCAATTTCTTTGCATCCGTTGTCAATGGAGGCAGAGTGTATTTACTCTCTAAACCCATGTCATGTAGAGTTAATGCATTACCATGGAGGCAAAGTGTATTTACTATCTAAACCCATGTCATGTAGAGTTAATGCATTACCATGGAGGCAAAGTGTATTTACTCTCTAAACCCATGTCATGTAGAGTTGATGCACTACCATGGAGGCAAAGCTTATTTACTATCTAAACCCATGTCATGTAGAGTTAATATGTTTCCATGAAGGCAAAATGTATTTACTCTCTAAACCCATGTCATGTAGAGTCATTGTGTTTCCATGAAGGCAAAATGTATTTACTCTCTAAACTGATGTCATGTAGAGTCATTGTGTTTCCATGGAGGCAAAGTGTATTTACTCTCTAAACCAAGTATATGTGACGTCTTTTGTTTGTTTCTTTTGAAAGAAAGTGTATGTACTCTCTAAGCTGATGCCTTCTTCTTTCCTTTCTTTGCAAACCATTCATCGCTCTTGTCCTTGGAAACAGCCTGCAAACAACAGGTTTCATAATCAACATCTAGCAGGCTGGAGGCAGCTTTGTGTGTTGTCTTTATCTTTGTTTAAGGCCACACACAACAATGTTCCAGCTATATGACAGCAGTCTGGACCAGACAATCCAGTGACTGACATCATGAGCATCGATCTACACCACTCGGACATGATTACATGATCCTGTTAGTCGCCTCTTACGACAAGGATAGGTTGCTGCAGGTCAGTTCTAACCCAGATCTTCACGGGAGACAAGCATGGGTTGCTGAAGATCAATTCTAACCCAGATCTTCACGGGAGACAAGCATGGGTTGCTGAAGATCAATTCTAACCCAGATCTTCATGGGAGACAAGCATTGGTTGCTGAAGATCAATTCTAACCCAGATCTTCACGGGAGACAAGCATGGGTTGCTGAAGATCAATTCTAACCCAAGTCTTCATGGGAGACAAGCATGGGTTGCTGAAGATCAATTCTAACCCAGATCTTCATGGGAGACAAGCATTGGTTGCTGAAGATCAATTCTAACCCAGATCTTCATGGGAGACAAGCATTGTTTGCTGAAGATCAATTCTAACCCAGATCTTCACGGGAGACAAGCATTGGTTGCTGAAGATCAATTCTAACCCAGATCTTCACGGGAGACAAGCATGGGTTGCTGAAGATCAATTCTAACCCAGATCTTCACGGGAGACAAGCATGGGTTGCTGAAGATCAATTCTAACCCAGATCTTCATGGGAGACAAGCATTGGTTGCTGAAGATCAATTCTAACCCAGATCTTCACGGGGAGACAAGCATGGGTTGCTGAAGATCAATTCTAACCCAAGTCTTCATGGGAGACAAGCATGGGTTGCTGAAGATCAATTCTAACCCAGATCTTCATGGGAGACAAGCATGGGTTGCTGAAGATCAATTCTAACCCAGATCTTCACGGGAGACAAGCATGGGTTGCTGAAGATCAATTCTAACCCAGATCTTCATGGGAGACAAGCATTGGTTGCTGAAGATCAATTCTAACCCAGATCTTCACGGGAGACAAGCATGGGTTGTGAAGATCAATTCTAACCCAGATCTTCATGGGAGACAAGCATGGGTTGCTGAAGATCAATTCTAACCCAAGTCTTCATGGGAGACAAGCATGGGTTGCTGAAGATCAATTCTAACCCAGATCTTCATGGGAGACAAGCATTGGTTGCTGAAGATCAATTCTAACCCAGATCTTCACGGGAGACAAGCATGGGTTGCTGAAGATCAATTCTAACCCAGATCTTCATGGGAGACAAGCATTGGTTGCTGAAGATCAATTCTAACCCAGATCTTCACGGGAGACAAGCATGGGTTGCTGAAGATCAATTCTAACCCAGATCTTCACGGGAGACAAGCATGGGTTGCTGAAGATCAATTCTAACCCAGATCTTCATGGGAGACAAGCATGGGTTGCTGCAGGTCAGTTCTAACCCGGATCTTCACGGGAGACAAGCATGGGTTGCTGAAGATCAATTCTAACCCAGATCTTCATGGGAGACAAGCATGGGTTGCTGCAGGTCAGTTCTAACCCGGATCTTCACGGGAGACGAGCATGGGTTGCTTGAAGGTCAATTCTAATCAAGATCTTCCTCTTGGAAGCATGTCTGGTGCTGATCTAATGTCCAGTCCAACAAAATCCTACACATCAGTCTCACGTGCAACACATAAGTAAAATTGTTACATTCAAACAGTGCTTCAGTTATGCTGCAATACTGCTACATAACAGATTTACCTCTTACCTCTGTCAGAAGATCATCAGCTTTGGGGTCAACCTGTGACAGTTCAGTAAAGGCCTCATCTCCCACAAAACAGATCTCATGGCCATCCTGGAACATCAGCAAATAGTTTGAACTGGAAGACAATTTTTTCCTGGATGTCAAACATTGGTTGATTTGGTCTGCTAAGATGACCAATGCTACATACATATTTTGTGAGCATCCACCTGGTCAGGGGCCAGGACAATGTGGACTGAGAGGACGTACTGGGTCAGCTATAATGACAACCTCGATAGACAGGACCTACTGGGTCAGCTGCCATGACAACCTGGACTGAGAGGACCCACTAGGTCAGCTATGATGAGAACCTAGACTGAGAGGACCTACTAGGTCATCTGTGATGACAACCTGGACTGAGAGCACCTACTGGGTCAGCTATGAGGCATGGCATGGGGTTATAAAACTGCACAATCTGGTGGGACTGTGAATGTTATTATTATGTCATATGAAACAAACTATACAATTGTATGAATTTATGTATACTGTGGACTGAGAGGACCCACAGGGTCAGCTGCCATTACAACCTGGACTGAGAGGACCTACTGGGTCAGCTGCCATGACAACCTGGACTGAGAGGACCTACTGGGTCAGCTGTGATGACAACCTGGACTGAGAGGACCCACTAGGTCATCTGCCATGACAACCTGGACTGAGAGGACCTACTGGGTCAGCTGCCATGACAACCTGGACTGAGAGGACCTACTGGGTCAGCTGCCATGACAACCTGGACTGAGAGGACCTACTGGGTCAGCTGTGATGACAACCTGGACTGAGAGGACCTACTGGGTCAGCTGCCATGACAACCTGGACTGAGAGGACCTACTGGGTCAGCTGCCATGACAACCTGGACTGAGAGGACCTACTGGGTCAGCTGTGATGACAACCTGGACTGAGAGGACCTACTGGGTCAGCTGCCATGACAACCTGGACTGAGAGGACCTACTGGGTCAGCTGCCATGACAACCTGGACTGAGAGGACCTACTGGGTCAGCTGCCATGACAACCTGGACTGAGAGGACCTACTGGGTCAGCTATAAAGACAACCTGGACTGGGAGAACTCACTGTGTCAGCTACGATGACCACCTCTACTGTTGCCTTCCCTGGCGTGTCCAGACTGATGAGTGGTGTCAAGATTGTCTGGTTATTGTCCTTCATCAGCTTCTCAATACCTGGTAGCTGAAACACATTTCATTCTGTGAACAATTTGTGGAATTGTGACATGTACTGCAGGTGACATTCCCCTACTTCCCCTGGTGCTCCATATGACTGCTCAGGGATGTGCACAGAAAGACAAGACAAAATTCTTGATGATAAAGACTTGTTGTTTTACATAGTCTGTCCGCCCAAGACGGGCTAGAATTTTTACGAGTGGCCTTAATTGACAGCTAGCCAGCCTGATGGTCTGGTAAAAATTTTAGATAACATGTTCCATACATCTGAGTAAATTCATCATATCTTAAAATCTATTTTTCAAATTTAGCATTACATTTATACTTGACAATTACTGTTTGAATATGCCTATCGATGCACAGAGTTTTGTAAACATGATGCACAGCGCTTACGATTCAATGTCACTGAAATGTGGCATCTATCGATGCATGGAGCTGTATCTTAACAATAATAATAATAATAATGCTAATTTTTGCACCTAGAATCCAACGCAATGCTGTTCTCCGGCGTTACATTATTACCCTGAGAGAATTGTCCTTTCAAAGCAGCTACTAAGCGCTTCATGCGACCGTGTAGGTCTGTACATCCGCTTCTCACTACCCATTTTAAACAGCTGGGTGGACTGAGTGCAATGTGGACAAAGTGCCTTGCCCAGGGACACAACACAGTATTGAGACCAAGGTCACAAATTTTGGTGTCTCCACCGGGATTCGAACCCGGGCCTTTGACGTGAGAGGCCAGCATGCTAACCACTACATCACTCAGGGGCTTAGGAACGGTTTTCAGAGCAGGGGGGCTAATTTATGAAAAGTATTGAAAATAAAAATTAAATTGTAGTTATGGTAAGGTAAATATGGTTTCGTCTTGCCTCCCTGCAACAGTGGTAACTGAACTCAGGTTAATTAAATTAATCATTTTAACTAAAAATGTTGTTATTCTCTTTGGATTGTCTGGTCTGGTTAAATCCATTTAAGGGTGATAACATTTTGAGACTACCAGCCCTGATGTCTGGCTGGGTTTGGGGCTTATTTCAATCTCATACACTGGTTTTAGTAGAGGAATTTTCAGCACGTAAGCACTTCAACTCTTCTCTGGCTGGGTTTGGGGCTTATTTCATACACTGGTTTTAATAGGGGGATTTTCAGCACATAAGCACCTCACCTCTTCTCTGGGACATGAGAAAGCCACCCTCCCGAAGGCTGAGGCATGATCCACAGTGCCTCCAATGTCCACCAGTTCCAGCTTACACTGAAACAGGATTAACAATACAACTCAGAATATTACACAGAAGGAATCAATACTCAAGCATACTTGCCAGTCCAAGCATACTTGCCAGTCCAACACATATTGTAGGCATGTAGTGCATGGGTGGTTAAAGGCACAGTGTCACACATTTTCGACAATATTTTGGCCTATATTTTATACATTGGGGGCATATGCACTCAATTTAGCTTCCTATCGCTGCAATAAATGACTGATTATCCTTTACGACTTGCCTGAAAGTGATAACTGATATTTTGAGTCGACAGCTTCCAAACAGAGGGCACTTGCCATATATGGAATGTAAACAATTGCTCCGTACATCAAACTCTGTTGCACGCAGTGCTGTCAGTGTTTGTCGAACTGGTCTCAATCACAAGTTACATTATAGATAGGATATTCGCTCCAAGGGACTAACTCTATGGCGTTCACTTGAAATAATGTTCGGCTGGTGGATGGAACAAAAGTCGATTTAATGCAACATTAATTCCAGTCTAAGTAAACTTAGTCTCAGTACTATTCGTTACACTCCTCTACTGAGTATAGTAGGGTAACGAATAATACTGAGGCTAAGTTTACTTAGACTGCATTAATTCATTCAAACTTTTTAAATAATTTAATAGCGTAGTCTAAATACGTAATGTTTATCGGAATAAATTATATGGTAGCTTCCCTGAGGGCTGATAGTTAGAATTATTGAGAGAAATGCATTATGTATTCTAAGAGAAATGTGGTGTGACATTGTGCCTTTAAACAAACACAGTTATTGTTACGAGCACAGGAACCCAGCATTTCAGTCTCACCTGGTTGTCACCAAAGCCAAGAACAGCTGTTGTTTCTGTCTGGGAATAAACCTTCATCCCAGCCAACTTTGACCAGAAATCTGTAAACAATGGTAAACAGGAATTGTAACATAATTTTACCCTTCTTCATGATTTACAGTAAAGATCACCATCTTTACTTCAGAATCAAAACATTTTACTCCACTTCACCCAGTCTACCCAAAATCTCTGACTACCATGGTTACATACCTACTGATTTCTGCAGGTCTGAAGATGCCAAGGTGACTTTTGATACAGGGTCTGCACACACAACAAAGTTCAGCATAAACATACAAGCATGTACTGGAATCACTGGCGAACCTTGAAAGTCTTGAACATTCTAACATGAATATTTGTCTTCAAAGTTTTTAATCAATATTCAAACCATGTCATGAGCATGCACATTGAAAGTATTTCCCATAAAGGAAGTTAATCGTCGAGATTGATGTACAAGAAAGCCACAGCATGAAAAACACAGCAATAGATACAGTCAGGGCAGTTTTCATTTTCTAAACTAAAGTACTGTCGGAAATAGAAAAAAACTGTATTTTCTCATTTATCTCTACTATTTATGTAGTTGATAAGTGAAAGTGTGAAATATCTGTGAAACTAAGTTCGGCCTAACTACAGTTTCAGTGGTAGAGAGATAGGAAACGGAGAAAAAGGACTTTACTGAGGGGAAATTAGTGCAGAAATGAGCAATGCGGTTTTTTTCTAAGTCCAAAAAGGCTTATTTGGAACAGACCATGGCTTTATGCAAATTAGTGTGCGACAATATTGTATTACAAAGGACACTTTTTAAATGCCCAATTTGAAATTAGACGTAGATTCATTATAAATGAGAGCTGACGTAAAAAATAATAACTTTTATGCTGAAACTATTAAGCATGTAGCTACCATGCAGTCTCACTGTCACTATAAAAAGAAACAGATAGGAGGGGTCGTCTCAAAATCAAAACCTGGGGTCGGGCTTGGGGATAGAAATATCAGCTAAGATAAGATAATCCTTTAGGGCAATTATACTGGGGAGGTACACGGCACGTCATAACAATTTACAAATAATATCCAGTCCTGTCGATCTTCAGGTGGTCATGCCACCTATATACTACGATGCGTTTCTATGGTTTTCGGGTATCATACTCTCTTACATATCTCAACATAAACTTTATAAAAGAAAGACACGTAAGATGTTAATCAATAGAGGAGACATAGTCAACACACATGAAAAAGCACAAAATATCTTTGAGATGACCCCTTGTGCTCCGTCGTCATACCTGGCTGAGAGACCTAATTGCCATCTAAGTTTTGTCCGATTTTACAAGTAAACATGCTTTTCTGGATATCGTATTACGCATCCCACTGAACGCCCAGTTAGGCCGAAGTGGGTTATTTCGACATATGCTATTTGCAATTGTGTAAATTTTAGGGATACAGAGTAACAGCCTAAAAACAGTTTTCTTCTATTTCCGACAGTACTATAATATCAATCTCCACCAATACAATCTGCTCAGTGAGCAATGACAGACTCACGGATCTGCAGCAATATTTTACAGCTCACCCCCCTGCACATCTTCACTGATGATGTTGAACTTGTAGCCATCTGGAGCCAGAAGGAATATCTGCCCATCTTCAGTAGAGATCGGATAGTTGTTCTTCCGAGCACGATCCAGTATGGCTGCTGATGACACAGTCAAACCCTACAGGAGGAGACGAGCTGCTTTACTGGTGTGTGTGAGTGTACATGAGTGTTTCAGTGAATTACACATTGTGTGAGTGTTTGTTGTTCCACAATACATTCAGTAAAAATTAGAACAAGCCGATGGTTTATGTACAGAGTCTATCTAAATCGGCTTGTCTATTCAGGGCATTATCTAGACTTTGGTCATGCTTCTTTCAGAGCTTGTTCAAACATCAGCAATTGGAGTATTAGTAAAATTCCACCAATAAAACAGATTTGTTCAGTGTTACAGTACTCACCTCGAGGACCTAAATGAAAATGGGGGCTCCTCAAAAGTAATTATTTAAAAAAATCAATGATTCTTCTGTGAACTCAAGAACTGATTACCCTTAGGATGCTTATACAGTTTCTCATCTTTCAAACTTTGAAGTTTCTCAAATTCTTAAAATACTTTTGATGAGTTAGTTACCCTGAAGTCGTTCCCCACTTTGTACGATCCGACGCCATAGTTATAGGTGAGCTCCACAACAAAGTGGTTGTCTTCTGGGCCATACCCAACCATGGACTTGCTCCACTTGCCGTCATACGGTCTGACAGATAAACACATTGGGTTGGCTTCCTTCAAAACTCTTTTCACAAACAAGAACTGACAACAGACATTTATCACATGCCCGGTGCACATGAATCAGCCCTGGCTATACTGTTTACACACAAGAAGTATATATCACAGAAACTGATGTACACCTGACATGTATTGCCAACATTGAATTAAATATGCAGTTGACAAAAAGACATTCTTTGGAAAGCAAGAGATTATCTAGGATGACACAGGTGACATAGGATACATGCAGGATGATGCAAACAAACACCTAGATGTTGACAGAACCTACTCTATGTCTTATATCCAAATATTGCTGTATTAATTTACTTCTCAATGAATTCTACATGATGGCCAGTGCTAAAGGCACATACTATGTCAATATCCTCGGACTTGAATGTTTACTCAGGTCGGTGTATAAGCGACTGACAAACAATGCACCTGCTTGCACAGTTGTCGAGTACCTCTGTGTTGTACACAAGGAGTGGAGTACCGGTCCACATTCATGTTATTACACTACGTTTCATTCATACTCCCCCATTACAGGAAGTACACAAGGAGTGGAGAACCAGTCCACATTCATGTTATTACACTACGTTTCATTCATACTCCCCCATTACAGGAAGTACACAAGGAGTGGAGAACCAGTCCACATTCATGTTATTACACTACGTTTCATTCATACTCACCCATTACAGGAAGTACACAAGGAGTGGAGAACCAGTCCACATTCATGTTATTACACACCGTTTCATTCATACTCACCCATTACAGGAAGCCTTGCATCCCTCCTCGAATTCTTCGTGCCGTAAAAACTGGTGAAAATAGAGTTCAATTTTTACATATTCCATGTATCAAGTCACCCAACAGTTCTGATGTGATTCCGTAGAGAATACCAATGGCCTTCCCAAAAACTCCTATCAGAGGCATATCCCAATATCGGAAGCAGAAGGGTTCACACCTACGATGCCCAAATTGAACAAAATCCCAGACCATATTTTGAGGGATTGACCATACCACCCACCACCCCCACACTGACAACTTCCAACCATGTACCCCTTGCAGATAATCCCAAATATAAATCTGTTAAAACAGATTTCAGAGAACGAATATTTCAAACTTTTAACAACTTATCGACTTTTCTGAAATAAATCTTAGGTGTATTTAACAATAAATGCATCAGACAGCTTGTTATTTTCAGGTTCTAAGTAGAGCTCTATCTCCCACCAAGCACTTAAAACCTGTTGTGAGAGCAAGCCCTACTGTTGGTCTTGTGAATAACAACTAGGTTAAAGAGATAATAAAGAGTCAACGTAGTGAGTTTGCAATACATGGGACGTGTCTAGCTGCCCAAACACTGAGGATAGCAATACCACTTTAATTAATTTCATGAAAGATTACATAATACATGATACATATCTCTAAATAAAACTTATATTAAGTAGTAAAAGCTAAAAGATCTATCTAAAAGCAACATGAGAATGAATTAGCTATGCATTATATCAGTGTAAGGAAACCTCATGCCTAAGCACAAACCTGTTTACCCGATCGGAATTCTTTCCAAAGAAATCAGAGAAAAAGTACTAGACACTCACTTTCATTCCCAGAACATCTTTGTAGAACTTGGCTGTTTCAGTTCTGTTGCCAACTTTGAAGACAAAATGCAAAGCACGTCTGGTCGACATTGTAGAAGTTTCTCGGGTGAACCTGCCTGATCCGTGTATCTCAGCTACTGATAACAACAATGTCGTGACTTGCAGTAATAACCGGGCTCTGTATCTCCTTAAGATATACCGGTCACTAGTGTTTACTTTCTTGATGCGTTACATATACAGTCACATGACACTCACGTGGACTCCTGTCTGTCTCGCTGCAATGTTGAACCAGTTTAAGAATGGGTTTCTCTGATTGGTTGGTAGTGTTTCCGGTTCAAGATGTCAGCCTCCATGGCATCACGTTTTTGCCAGAGGTCCCTTCGAATGGTTACAGGCATAAGAGGAATACCATCAGAATTTCATGTGAGAGGTTATGCACGTGGTACACGAAGAGGAGCACAAGGTGTTTTCAATGTTGATGAAGAGCGGAATAAATGGAAAAATGAAATGACATTTGACAATCCTCGCAGTAACCCCTATGTCCCATTTGAAAGTCGGGACCCAGTTCAGAGAAGCTTTGTTGACAGACACTCCGATAAATCGAGACCAAAAGTAATTCGAAAACCAAGAACAGGAATATCACCAGCTAGCATTAAGGATAGTAATGAAATCCAAGAAACATCAACAAAAGGAAAACTGCCCAAATACGAAAAACTTAGTGAAGGAGACAGACGTTTTGGGTAAGACTGTGGAAATAGCCTAATAGGTTGGGTCTAATAACTGTAACATGGTTAAATAACCAACTACAGTGTTAATCCACATTCATATCCAAACTCATCATAATTTCTAATCAGCAACAAATAGGAGTCGTGTAAACACAGTACTGGCTAGTGAACAATTATCACGATATTTTAATGGTATTTACAAAATTACTCCGCCGTTCGTTAAATTAATGAAAAAGAATTAATTATGATACTTAATTAGCTATTCACCGATGTGTCCAGCCCGTTCACTGCCGCCGATCATGTTTCTATATAACTTTTATAAGTGAATCATGGAAGTATAAATAGATGTTTTCTCACAGTCACAACTAACTGTAACAGTTAGAGCCATTCAGAATTTCTCATGCCATTCGTGAAATAATATGTATTTATATCATACAGTAACTTCGAATAATTGATTGTGTGACTATTTGAGTGTTTCTTTTACAGTAGATTGATAGGGAATGAAACAATTAATGACTTGTGAACCTGAACTTGCTATATAGGTTGTGGGACATCCCCCCCAACTGAGTTAAAAACTTGGCCTACCTTTAGAATACTGCGCCACAAACTTTAAAAATACGTCATAATACCCTTTTACATAATGTAATGTGATTTTGTTCGAAAGCATGTTCTCAAAACAATGCCCTATGACGCCTGCATGGCAACACGGTTGTCTGGCTCAGCGAGTGCGTATAAGCTCCGCTCACTGGTGTTTCATCTCTACGAGCTATGTCATTGCATAAGCCCAACGATGTTGAGAGTTTTCAGTAGTTGTATACCGGCGGATGATCAATATTTTGCAAGCACCAGTCTGAAATATTTTTCTTTTTTCACTAATACGCTCATATTTATTTGTATTACGGGCTGCTGAGGTGTTATGTTTTGTGTATTTTGTATTTTGTAATTTTTCTAAATTTACATATATATTTTTGTCATTCAGTAATTTGCACCATTACATAGAAAAGTGTTTTATTAGTATTTTATTTTTCGAAGCGGTAATAATGCATTACACTAGACACGTCAGTCGTGTTTGTGCCGGTTCAGTCAATGCATTCTATTTATCAGGATTAATTCAAGGGATTAGGGCTAGGGCTAGGGTTTAGGGTTAGGGTTGGGGACCTAATGCAATATAGTAGGTACATGTCCGGTGGTTCGGTCAATGCATTCTATTTATTAGGATTATTTCAAGGGGTTAGGGTTTAGGGTTAGGGTTAGGGCCCTAATCCAATATAGTAGGTACATGTCCGGTGTAATACGTGAGTACCATTTGTTGCTTTCCCTTTTTGCATTTTAATACTTTTTTTTCACACAAAAACGGGAAACCAAAAACGTCGAAAGTACATTATGAAATGGGTTAATGTAGAAATTTTGGGCTAATGGAAATTGGCCTGGAAATTGCACTCAAGCCTCTTTCACACGCAACATAAATTTTGTAAAGTAATGATTCGAAGGCTAACTCACCCTCGTGCCGTCACTACACATGCTCATGTCTCCCTCGTTCCTTAGTGCGATCCACATTATCCTTACAGTGTTCCCTACATCACTTTTCTGTCACAAAATCACCAATTTATATAAAAGCGTCATTCATGCATGCACCGTGAAATCTACGTCTGGCGCCTGGCGTCAACAACCCTTTTCAGTTTGAGGCATATCGGCTCATTCCACGCCACATGTTAATTTGTAGATTACGGAATGGGACGAGTGTGCCAAATGGCATCGGATCCATTCGCCAGTTGTCCGTAGAATAAAATCACGAGACACCAAGTCTACTCGTAGCATTCGTAATTGTCCGTGACCTATTTGACTCTTTCCGTTCATTTCCGTGACGTCACAGGAATGACTCGATAAATTTGCACATTGTGCAACAGTGTGGACGTAGCTCAGTCGGTTAGCTGTTGTGCTAACAATCCGAAGGTCGCGGGTTCGCGTCCGACGGGTTCTCACAAACTGGTTGCTTGTCTTAATGACACGTGACTTACGGCAGAGATCGTCCTCACGAGAAGTTGTGGTGCTGTATTCTAAAGGTGCTCCAAAAACTTTTATAATAAGGTTTATAACTTTATCTGTAATTTTACTCTTATGTTACTTGCTGTGAAGAATTTTCTTTTGCTGTCCTGTATTGTTGTCAAATACCGTAGGAAAAAATACCGGAATTGTAAGTGACCGGAACTGAGCACGTGTGATACTGATGTATTGGCGATAACTGTTACGTGGCAATAACTGTTCGCTAGCAATTACAGAATAAAAATACAGACTGTGTTGTAGCACGGCATGTTCCTAGAAGGTAGGTTGGTGATTGAGAAGACCACCAGTCTTATACCTAGACAACCAGTACTAGCTAAACATCCGTAGTACGGCCAACAGTAGTTGAAAGTAACACTAACAGCTTCACTTATGTTCTGATTCTAAGTGTTGTCAATTTCAGCCAGGTAATCCTTGCTGCTAAATCAGGAAAAGAAAGGAGAAAAGAAGAAAGTAATACTCCTGGAGGGTTTCCGCCTCATAAGAGATGCCATCGATTCTGGGGCCAGTGCTAAGTGCATCTACTTCAGTCATACAGACTTCCTGGCCAGACTCGGCCCCCTCAGACTCGGCACTGTGCCCCTGTACAAGGTCCAGTATAAAGACATAAAGTCATGGTCTGATACACACACACCAGCAGGAATTATGGGTAGGATATTCTTTCAATGTTAATAAACAAAAATGAAATGAAAAGTCTTTCTTCATATTAGAAATGTGATCAAATCACATCTTAACATTTTTTTAAATCTACATCATCCATCACATGAAGCTACAAGCACTGTCACGGTGTTTCAAGAACGTAAGAGAAGTGGAAATAAGTCATGTTTCTGTTTCCATCGTCCTTATTATCCCTGCTGGACAAGCCACATTTTCCAGATTTGTAATCATGGAAGAGAACTCAAAACACATTGTAAAACAAAATGTGTCTTTATGAAACATGAAACCAACCTTGCATATTCTCTACCAGCTAAAACTATTTAAGGAATATGATAATCCAATTTAATTACTTGTTTGATAGATTTCTTGGCAAATAGAACTTGAAAATAGGTTGAAAACAACTGTTATTAAAATTCATTCCGTAAAACATTTTGCTTATCATAATTTCATCTGTATGAACCTGAGATTACTCACATTTTTTGTTCATTTGTTTGAGAAAGATGCAATCATATTCATGTGGAATAGTGTACCAGATTACTGAGATAATTAAACTCTGTCTTTCAGCGATATTTGAGAAGCCTAAGCAAGGTGAGTGTCCCCATCCACAGGGGAGACAACTCCCACTGACTCTGATCTGTGACAACATCCGAGACCCTGGCAACATGGGCACACTGATCCGTACAGCATCAGCTGTAGGTTGCCGTCGGATACTAACAACTAAAGGTGATTGTGTTAAAGATTAGATCTATCAAGCAGTGATCACTTCATTTCCAACTCAACATTTTTGTTACTATTCTGATCTGAAAGCACATACGGTTTGGCAACATGATTCAACCTATATTGCCTAGTGCTGGTTTTGTCATACAACTGGTGTATGAGGTATGATGTTTTGTCATACATCATGATACTAAAATTTTAGTCACGATGATATATTGCCGAAGTATTGTGCACTTTAGCTGCGATACGATACGAATCCCGATACAAGGGTGGCGATACGATATGTATCACGATACTAAAATCTTTAATTTTAACACCAACTATAAAACACCTTAAGATAAAAACAAAACTATTTTAAAGTGTTTTGTCAAATTCCGCCAGCGTTTTCAATGTTCATTCGGAAATCAGATAATTAAGTTTATAAGTTTATAAGGACTTTGTGAATATTATTAAAATGCGAGCGCTATGTTTGACACAGTTCCTGGCGCAAGAATTTCCACGAAATTTTTGAAGGGAAAATAAGTATGCATAAATTTTAATCATGAAACAATAATAAGTCTTTCTTGTCAGATATCGGCAAGTGATTCGGCAATATTCAAAGAAAAACATCGATGTATCCTGGCCCATTTGAAGTATCGTATCTGGATACAAGACAGTGTAAAACTTTGTATCGATTCACTGTATCGGCGACCCATGGATCGATGCATTGATGTGTATCGGTGAATCGTCACATCACTAATATAGCCATGAAAAATATGCAGAGTAAAACACCTATTCTACTGCATGTGTAAACCACGCGGTGAAGTAATTAGGTTGGATCTCTAAAATTATCTGCCCTGGTTTAAATTACAAGAGTGCGTTACTTCTCTTGACTTACAAAGAGTCAGTTACCTCCCTTGATGGAGTACATAGTCATGACAGAAGACCATTGAAGGTGATGACAGTAAGGGTTGTGTTTGGCGTCAGGGCCCTGTTCCACAAAACGACCGTAGCGCTAAGGTGATCGTAACTCCCATACTTTAACATAGACTTACGACTGTCGTAGCGCTACGATTGCTTTGAGGAAAAGGGCCCAGGTCAAGTTTTATTACGTGTGGTAGTCACGGTCCGTGTTTAATCTGCATGTTCAATCATACTTTGTTGTTATGTAAGGCATATATTACATGGCTGTCTGTACACAGGTTGTGTGGACGTCTGGGAACCCAAGGTGTTGCGAGCAGGGATGGGCAGCCACTTTCACATCCCCATCCTGGCCAGCGTCCCATGGGAGCTACTCGTCAACTACATGTGCGATGATGACAACGTTTTCATCGCTGAGACAGGAAAACAGGAGAAACTTGAGGCTAAACGGAGAGCTTTCACTCCGGATGATTTTGAGAAACTCTCGCACGAGGAGGAAGGTCATCACAACATCTCTGAATCCAAGATGGCTGATTACAGACAGAAGTATGGATCATTGATGGAGGATGGTGTGTTGGATATCCATGAAGAATATTTAGACAGAGACCATGTCCAGTACTTTGATCATGCTCCTATGAGTTTTGTGGATTATGACAAACTGACCTGCCCCAAAGATGGCGCCACTGTGATCATCGGAGGAGAAACCACAGGGGTCAGTGCTGCAGCAAAGAAATTTGCATATGACAGGTTTGGTCAGTGCGTGACGATTCCAATGTCGCCTGCTGTGGACAGTCTCAACTCAGCTATTGCTGGAAGTATTATTTTGTATAAAATTCAAAATCTTTTAGATTCTAGGTGAAAATAAACAATAGAAATTTCTGTTTGTCTTTTGTTTTCATTTATAAAATAACAAATATATGAAGTGTTTGTTCCTGTTAATGACAGAAAGATTGAGAATGATTTTGCACTTTTTCTAACACTTCTCAAGTGGCATCACACACAGCATGGAGGTGATGGTGAAGGGAGCAAGTTAGCAGCAGTCTGAGCAGACAACCATCTCACGGACACTGGGGCTGTGAACATCTGATGCCTACACTGGGTTTTATTGTTGAAAGCTAAACTTCTGACTTCTTCCAAAAATATTTTGATGGGAATTCTGTGATGGAGTATCTCTCTAATACTCAGGTGAAGACAACAGTGATGATGTGGTGGTCACACCTTGGATCCCAGCTGTTTGTTTGTCAAGAGACACGAGCATGTCCCATGCCACCTGGTTGTCTCTCCCAATTAATTGCTGTTGGTTCTGTGGTATGATTGGCAAGAAATTGTTTATAACCTTATTCCTCCATAAACCTTGGAAAGAAATTTTGATCCTTTTCTACATTTCAGTGTTAAGGACTGAAAAAAAAAGGTTTGGGAAGTTCATATTCTCAACTGTTTTTCTAGAATTGAGGACTTTTAAATCCTTTGAAAATGTATTTCAAATTTCTACAGTACAACCAGAAATTATTGAGAATTTAAGATTGTACTCTTTCTTTTTTCACTCATTAACTCACGTATTAAATGTGAATATGAGCAGAACATAACTCCAGATTCAAAGACAGGTGAACAGTTAGTATTTAGTCCTAGGCCAAATGTTAGAAAAGTCCCTATCTTTTAGGATCTCTCAGCAGCAGTAAAAGCGTTATCCAGTAATTGGTATGACAACTCCCACCCTCCAGAGATTCTTGTCAATGTGGAACTAGACACAGAATGTATCAGGTTGCTGAAAACAAACAAGGTTTACCCCGCTGTTGAAACAGTGTCCACATGTTCATAGACCAACTGCATGAGTATTAACCACATGGTTTAATGGACGGTGACAAGCACTGATGTTCAACATGATCAGGATATGCAGTATGGGTGATAAGGCCTGGTGTATCATATTACCTGATAATGATGTTATCTCTACATTTGGCCTAGGAGTATATTTTGTCAAGTCACCATGGGCAGCAATGCAGGCTTCAATGCGGCGGGGCATACTACTGACCAAAGAAGTTAGAAAGTCGTGGTCCATGCTGTCCCAATATCGGACCACCTCTTCTTTCATTTCAGCAATATTTGTCAGATTTTTCTTATTGACACTTTCGTTCATAAGTCCCCAAACATTTTCTATTGGATTTAGGTCAGGGCTATAGCTTGGCCAATCTAATAATGTCATATTTTGGGTCCGAAACCAGGCCTGTGAATGCTTTGAACAATGTTTTGGGTCGTTGTCCTGCTGGAAAATCCACAAACTTCCATAGAACACGTGAGCAGATGGAAGTAAATGTCCCTCGAGAATATCTGTGTACCGCTCACTGTTCATATTCCCTTCAAATACACAGAGGGGCGTTGCCCCTAACACAGATATGCCACCCCACACGTTAAATTTCGGACTGTGCTTTGGGCGCTGATACAAAGGTTTTTCAGTTTGTTTTGTCCAGAATTTCAGTGTATTAGGAAACAGCCACACAGAACTTTCATCTGAGAAAATCACATTGTCCCAGTTAAAATTTCTATGCTGTAAGCACCAGTTCAACCTTCGCTCCTTTTGTTCAGGTTTCATGATCGGTGATGGAATTCCTCGACTTCCTCGGTATTCCTGCCAACCCATTGCATGCAGCTCAGTTCTAATTGTCTCCTTACAGACAGCCACAGTTCCTCTATCAATCATATCCAGCCTTAAGTTTTCTAAACTCCTTCGTTTGTTTTCAGAAACAAGAATACCAAGCCGCCTCCTGTCACCGACAGTCAATTTTCTGGGCCTACCTGCGCCTCCCTGGTGCTCAATGCCATATCCATTGGCAATATTTTTCAAAACACGATAAACAGTGGACAAAGGGATGCCTGTTCTACTTGAAATCACTTTAGCTGATCTGATGTCCTTGTTATAATACTCTAAAATCAACTTCCTCTTCTCTAAATCATCCATACTGAGGATCACTGAAAATGTCGTCTGCTAGCAAGTAAACAAAGGGGGATAACTCTTCACAAACTAATGAAAAAGGATTAACGGAGTTGTCTCTCTTGAATGAAACCAAGCACTTGATAGCTGGTCAAGGTTGTTTATACTAGAAATCCAATTTAACATATTCCTAAAATACTCAATTTCTGGTCATACTATATGTATTCTTGTGCTACAGAATCATGGCAAGTTTTTTTCATGTTGCATTGTCTTCCTATTCGCCATTAACAATTATAAATATTGCTCATACAATTCCAATAAATGTGGCCACCATTATTTAGGTGAACCACAAAGCCTTGTTGCTCTGTTCTTGTGTAGGGTTATAAGCTATGGGTGGTCTTGTTTAATGTCTTTGTTCTCTACAATATTCCAGCTGTGTAACTGTGGTCTGTTCATGATTGGGTCTGTTCATGATTGAGTCTGGACTCAATGACTGACGTCATGAGCTCAACTGGGGCATGATAACATGCATCAACAAGTCGGTGAGTCTGACCACCCAATCCCGAGAGTCGTCTCTTACAACAAGCATGGCTTGCTCAAGACCAATTCTAATCCAGATGTTTGAAACACAAAGCAACACGCTATGAGCTATGTACAGATTTATTTACATCAACTTCCCCAATTCGTGGCTATACAACTCCCCAGACTTCCTCGAACCCCGAACAGACTTTGGCACAGGTGAGTGCAGCAGACAGGGGGTAGTTGCTGATGGAGTAGGTGTCCTCCACATAGTCCACGTCAACCTGAAACAGGGGATACACATCATGACAGCCTTCTAGGAAATGTCATCATCAGATTTGTATGTCCAAGTGTGATAATGAGGAATTTGTATTTGAGAAGAGTGAGTGATTTTAGTTTTATGTCCCTTTTAGCAATATTCCAGCAACATCAGGGCAGGGACATCAGCAGTGGGCTTCACACATTGTACCCATGTGGGGAATCAAACCTGGACTGACCACTAGGCTACCCCACCGCCCCACCCTGGTATTACTGACTGACTGACCACTAGGCTACCCCACCCTGATATTACTGACTGACTGACCACTAGGCTACCCCACCGCCCCACCCTGATATTACTGACTGACCACTAGGCTACCCCACCGCCCCACCCTGATATTACTGACTGACTGACCACTAGGCTACCCCACCGCCCCACCCTGATATTACTGACTGACTGACCACTAGGCTACCCCACCGCCCCACCCTGGTATTAATGTAGAAATACAGGAAAATGTAATGCAATACGTAGTGTTCTGTGTTGTTGTTGGGATGTTGTTTAACTCAGCAATATTCCAGCTGTATGACGCTGGTCTGTAAATAATCGAGTCTGGACCAGATAATCCTGTGATCAACAGCATGAGCATCTACCTAATGGGGATACGATGACATTTCTATGTTGTCATATGTAATGCAATGTGCAGTGTGTTAGGTTGTGATATGTTGATCAATATGCAGTGTTTATATTGATATATGTGATATGTTATACAACACTGTCTATTGCTGTGATATGTTATACAACACTGTGCTGTGCTGTATTGCTTACTTTGCCATGAGCCATTGCACCGATGACAAAGACGACGGGTTCATCTGACGGCACAAGGTCACGAACGTTGACGCAATCATCGGCACTGAAGGACATGATGATCTTCTTAGCGCCGACAGGAAGATGGTCGGTGATGGGGTTTCTGATGACCTACATCCCAGAAACATTCAACAATTACTAAGTATTGAAAGAAGATTGATGCAATGTATGGGAATGTCCACAGAAACTAGAGACATCAGCAGGTTTTCATTGGTTTCTCACAGCAGTCATGAGATATCACAACAGGGAGTGTTTCAAGTTATGTCTGCACTGACCCACCTTTAGGAGTTTCTGGGGGCCGTCGGAAGCGTGGATGCTAAGCTTGTGCAGGAGCTGGACTGAAACAGTAACCATGGTTTCTATTTCCACAATCAAAGAATACATAATGTACTGCAGTAAACAAGGCGAGGTGAAATGGGGTTAATGTCGCACTTAAGAATATTTCACTCATATATACATGCGGGTGTATGTGTATGTGTGGCTGCTTGTAATAGGTCAGACTTAAGATAGTTTTATAGTGCTGGCTCACTGAGATACCATGCCGCAATTATGCATGAATACCCCACTCAGACACATACTGACTCCGAACCGACCAGTGCTTGTTACACCCATTAATGCCGAGCGCCAGGCAGGGACCAACAAGTACGATATTTTAAAGTCTTTTGGTATGACACGGCTGGGGATCGAACCTGTGACCTTATGCTCTCCAGGTGGACGCTCTAACCACCATGGAGGCGGTCCTACAGTAAACAAAGGGCGATGTACAGCAAATACCAGCTGGTACATTACTTACCACTGTTGGCAAAAAAAATACATGCCACCAATGACAGACATACTTGTCAATAACGTTCATGAATAAACCAAGATATGTATTTGTTTTCACAATCTCCCTCAGTGTGTACAACCATTTCATTAGCAAGATTACACGGCAACACTAAGTACCTGGGAAACATGTCCAGGAAACATGAGCTGCTTACCCATGAGACCACAGAATCGTTCAAATGTTCGGGGGATTCGAGTCTGTGGGTTGATCTCGATGAGAACGTTTCGTTCTGTATGGACGTAGACCTGCAGCATCCCTGCTCGGTTCAGTGGGCTATCCATCAGCATCAGCAGGCACTAGCAATAACACAAAACATGTCTTACAGCAATCTGTCACAGAGGAGAATATCACTTGGATGACATTTACAACAGGCACTAGCATGATCAACAGAAGCTCCACCTTGTGTCCATTATTATCAAGTAACAAATACACTGGTTTAAAGGTTCTATCAATGTGTTGATATTTAATATTAAAATGTGAGATCTTAAACATGTTACTCTTTTCACATGCCTTAAAATCAACATTATGAAGGCGTTATCATATCAATTATTGATAACTTGAATCATGTCACCGTTCAGCTACCACGGTTACCTACCTGATGTGTGATGTCCGGCCTGTACTGACTGATGTCCTTCTTGAACTTCTTGCTGAGGTTTCTGTGCTTGTCACAGTTGAGGAGCTCAAACTGTTTCCCAACCTGCAACATTGAGTCAGGACTAACATACATATCATGTATTTTATCATCAGTTGTAGAGAGTGAGTACATATGTTGCTTTTAGCAATAATCCAGTGATTATCACTGGTGGGTACAGCAGAAATGGGAATTGAACTTTGGCATGATGAGTGATTGCTCTGACTACCGGGCCCCCCAATCACGCCATTCCAAATCAGAGTATATTTGTGATGCATCAGTGAATAATTACAGCCCAGCCAATCAATGGGTGCTCAATACAGGACATTTGGGCTGCAATGAATCCACTATGGGGCGTATATGATAACATTGGTAACGAATAAAATAACATGTTAGCAATTGTTGTATCATTTAATATATTCAGTCAAAACATAACAAAATATTTATTTGACATGTTTTGACCATATGACAGTGCTATTCATCACGACAATACCCAGTGACCACAATAATACAGTCAAATTAATTACAAATGTATAGAGAAGTGCTGGCTATTATCCTGCCTAGATTTTTCCATTTTGCATTTATCGTTTTGACAAATAACACACAATTTCAAGTAAGACCACCCCTTTTTAAAAATAATCATGAGTATTCAATTCTAGTGAAAGTGAAACATCCATTTTTACAGACAGTGGTTGTACGGGTTAAAAACAAATTTAGAACTGATATAGAGAAAATAGATTTTCTTGTGATGGCTTGTAACCGATAGTGGTTATATTTCGACTGACGTGTTACTCTCTGATCCCGAGAAAACAGCTACAAGTGCGCGCGAAAACAGAAGGTCTGTGTTAAAGAGGCGAAACGTCTGTGTGCCCATGTTCGTTTGTAAATTTATAAACCGTATTAAAGATTACCTTCACTGTTTCAAGAGATGCACTTTCTAGAATTACAATTAAACGCTTCTCCGTAGTAGACTTTGAAATATGTTTGATAATGTGTGGCTTTTCCACAGTTGCACGTTTTACTTTGGGGGCTGCCATCTTTGTTCTATAAAAAGAAAATGAAATAAAAACGAAACTAGAATGTCTTGGTAAACATGGTACGTGTGCAAATCAGTTCATATTTTGTAATCGCTAAAATAAAAACATATACAAGGGCTTTGTCCAATCAAATATGAACATATCACTCAATGTGAATTTTACACTTGAATGGGCAATATTCGGTTCTGTTGATGTACTACATTTTTTTACATACTGGTTTCACTCATGGTAAACGCAACGAGTTTAGCGCTTCTTCATATAACGGAAGACAGGAACCTAGTCATGTTTTTTCTATAATCTTCTCAAGCAATTAATTTCTTATTTTTGGGATTATTTTTCATTAGATTTTAAAACAAACAGATTGCAATAAGGACATTCGATTTTATTCAAAGTTGTTCCCTAAAATAGGTTTCTATGGCCGCCATCTTGTTGTCATATGCAACCATAACCTGGGTAAAACAGTAACGAAACGGGGGCGGGAATTATGTTTACAGTGTCGAGCCAATTTAGCTGATTGTTGATTAATGATGTACTGTTGATTTATTTACAGAGCCAATTTATCACTGGGATCCCAATAAAACACTTGAAAAAACGGCTCAATAAATATGATTTCACACAAGAATATTTGTTGAAGACGTGGAATGTAATGAAAGTTTCTGTTCGACGCCAAAATGTACAAGAGCACTCTAGACTTGCTAATACACTGTCGTAGAACTATGCCGAGGAAATAACGTTTGCTTCATGCTTGAGACTGAGTACAGAAAAGCAAATGAGTGGGACTTAATCAGTGACGTCACAGTTCTAACTACATATGCAGAGTTATAGAAAAGTTTGTTTATATGATAAACACAACTACAATGAACCGAAAACAGTCACGACCTGGGACAAGGAATTCTCAGGTTAGTTTGTTAGTTACTTAGTTAGCACTGTAGAACCAATTGGAAGCAACCTTTATTGTGGTAATATTTTGTTTGAGAGATGCACTTGTGTCTTTCAGCTGTATGTTGTGGGTAGGAACTCTAGTTTTACAATGATAACAGTCCTTGATTTATCCTCACATTACCTGGGTTGCATGGGTTTCTCAAAGTGACAATGCACACATCTGAGTGTGCAAATCCCCCTCTCTAGGAATAAAAAGCAGTTTGTCTTAAAAGGAAACGATGCATCCAACTTTGCAGGTTTGGAAATGTGGACCAGCTTTTTCGTAGAGAAATAAAAATTTGCTTATCATAGACTATATTTTCAAGTGGCTTGATTAATATACTGCACAAATTATCAGTGTTTCCATTCTCCGGTATATACCTGCAAATCGCTAGTAAAATTTGTTGGGGACCAGTAAATTGAAAGCCAGCCGGACACTGTCCGCTACATAATCATGTTTTAAAAAGAAAAAATCATGGGTAAGCGAAATAACCATCTTGGCTGTGCTTTCATGGTCACAAAAATTGTTATGTTTTGGAAATATGCAGACTGAAAATAACTTTAAAATGAGTACTTGCAGTATGGTGATAGGACATGACTGGCAAAGTTCATTCATGACCGGTAAAAGTTTAGGTCGCCAGACACAGTGTCTGATAAATAATGAGTCAGCGGAAACACTGAATTATGTACAGACACCAGTCGGAGAACTGATGAATGACTAGTTATCATTTCAAAAGATATATCATTGATTCTCAGCTAAACGCACTTTCCCGTATTCCGTTGTCCCTGTCGTCTTATAAAATATTTTGTCATTGAAATGTACTTTTCCAATTCCTTACACATGCTTTTAATAATCTGAACTTTTATAAGTGGTGCGTTTTCAATGATGTTCTGTATATTAATAAAGATTACAAATTATCATACAAATATGCAACATTTTACTGATGTGATAAGTAAATAACAATACACATACCGTCAGTCCTATTTCTTGGACCCTCCTCCACACTGCCTGGGTGTAGTGGAACAGACACCCACGGAGTCTCACATCTGTCATCACTGTTTTCAGGGCTCCCCATGTAGCAGCCTCAAAATCCATGACAATTGACTCCACAGATGGTGCTACTGGCAGCAGATCAAGCAGTTTATTGAAAACTTTGACGTAGTCAGATTTTGTTCGTGAGGACATTATTACAAAAACTAACGGCATCATTTCACATCCTGCTTTGACCGCACGAAGGAATGCACTGAGAGGAGTTGGTAAAACGGCTGTTTAACCACCTTGAAGGTTCCATCCAAGAACCATTGGCTGGACTTGCTCAGTTGGTAAAACGGCTGTTTAACCACCTTGAAGGTTCCATCCAAGAACCATTGGCTGGACTTGCTCAGTTGTAACAGCTGGCGGTCTGTGGCCAGGATAAGGTGCCTTTGTTCCTTGTTTGTCAGGTCTGCTTTCAAGAAGCCCACAGGGATGAATGTGGTGGAAATCTGAAAATATAATTTTACAAATATTCATATTCATTTATCTTCAGCATATAGGATATCATTTGAGTTGTATTTCAGTTAGGACAATATAGAACAAACTTTATTGAAGTTTTCAGTTAGGACGGTTAGATTACCTCAAAGTCCTAATCCTGTGGATCCTTGGGTCTATTCCTTTCCCGCGCTCTATTAGCAATCCTTGTCAGCTGATCATGTTCTTTCTAGCTCCACTTGGAGCATCTGGCTGCACTATTGTTGTAACCGCATCCTCCACAATAGTCGCAGCTGACTTGAATAACTTCTTTGTGGCGTCCTCTTTTATCTAATAAATTGAAATTTATCATTATGAAATATTTGTTTATATATTGATCAAATAACATAGCCTTTATAACAAGGTTAATAAAGGCGAACTGGATTGTGTTGAGACAGCCTCCTGGTCATTGGGATTAACGAGCAGTAGCTCTTGATGGTAATTGGATTAATTAATTAAATGAACAGTTAAGCTGTTTAGGCTTAAGGGGCTTACCTGGACCCTTACTTGTGATGCTTGTAACTTGCCAGGGTTAGCAGTATGGTTGTGAGGCTTGTCACTGGGTGTCAAGCTTGTTCCCTTCTGAGTGACAGTAGCAGGAGAGCTGTTCTTGTTGCGGACACTACATCTCCAGTGATGTTCTCTCTGTGTGTGTCCAACCTTCACAGTTGTCACACGAGATTGCCTCTTGGCCTTCACTTACTACCAAAAAACATTTCCTGCAGTTGGAAGAAGTGAATGACCTACCCTTAGTCAAAATCAATTTATACAATGCAGAGCCTCAACATTTCCTTTAACTAAACACAGCATTGTATGTCCATTAGTGAACATGTTTTGATAGCCTGTTTTTATCCACACTTTTTGACAAGCGTAATTAACAATAGCTGTAGATTGTTTTGATAAGTATTATACCATACTTGCTGACCAAACCTATGCATTTACGGCCTCACTTTTTGACAAGCGTAATTAACAATAGCTGTAGATTGTTTTGATAAGTATTATACCATACTTGCTGACCAAACCTATGCATTTACGGCCTCACTATTTGACAAGCGTAATTAACAATAGCTGTAGATTGTTTTGATAAGTATTATACCATACTTGTTGACAAAAACTATGCATTTACGGCCTCACTTTTTGACAAGCGTAATTAACAATAGCTGTAGATTGTTTTGATAAGTATTATACCATACTTGTTGACCAAACCTATGCATTTACGGCCTCACTTTTTGACAAGCGTAATTAACAATAGCTGTAGATTGTTTTGATAAGTATTATACCATACTTGCTGACCAAACCTATGCATTTACGGCCTCACTTTTTGACAAGCGTAATTAACAATAGCTGTAGATTGTTTTGATAAGTATTATACCATACTTGCTGACAAAAACTATGCATTTACGTCCAATAAACATTTTATACAAACCTTTCATTTTATTCTTGTACTTATTTACAAAAGCATTAATAACATGCAAATAATTGGTATCACAGTGTTGTCTATACATGAATATTACTTTTGCTCTTATCAGTTTACTAATAGAAACTTTATCAGAAATATTACTACATAATATTATGTGAAGAATATAATATGGAAGTCAACAAAAACTATGCATTTATGACGTATATTAAACCATTTTAAATAAATTGGGGCATTTTGACTAACCCCCTGGGGCGATTTGACCAATTTTCTGGGGCGTTTTCTCATTGGGGCGATTTGACTGGCACCCGTTTGTGTCAGTAAATTTTGTTATACACTGCATCATGATATAGACCTTTGTTACATATTTCCTTTGTCCCTCCTGCAAGTACCTGATAACAATTCCACGTATTGCAACCATTTGTGTAAATATGCTATCTCATTGGACTTGAAAATATATCTAAGTACTTGCAAAATCATAAAAAAATACTAGGTAGTCATAAGAAACTTTCTTTCCAAAAACATTGCATTATTTGTGTGTCTCCGATATTGCCGTCAGATACGTTAAACAGTTTAATCATAGACCAGTAATACATATTCAAAATCATACAACGAGTTGTACGAGTGCTTTCGTTTCCAGTTATCCCAGTCTGTAAAACAGTTATGTGCCTTTTCTTTCTAAAGTTAACTTGAAAAGATACATGTGGTCGTACCTGAAATAGAAGGTTTGTTACTTTCATATATCATCAGATACGTGAACTCGACATCTGTAACTGTAGGATTCTGTACAGCGTAGTAGTTGTAAACCAATTGTTTTTTTTTAAGCACCGATGACAGCAGTATCACAAATGTGTGTGAAAGTAAGCGAGATAAACTTCACTCCAACTGTAGGCCAAATTTTGCTTTTGTAGCATCAGATATGTTTTCATCAGATACGTGTAATAAAATATGGAAAATCACTGTTGTTGATTTTATATTTGCAATAGTTCTACTTATATTGTTATTGCCTTGTGTTGTATTAAATTCTTATGAATTATCTAGCATTCGCAAGATGCAACAGTTTTTCTTTCTGGCTGGTTTGAAATATCTTATCTACTTAACTTATCTGACGTTCAACAAAAACTCTTTTTCACCAGTCTTTTTATAACCATTCTTCATTTGTGTCCACCAATTACAGATTCTGATAGACCGTATCCTAGATTATCTCGACAAGCTTTAAATTATAAGAATTGTTTATTTCTTTTTCTATCACTAAATCTCAGAAAATGTGCACTTTGCGGAGAATGTGTGATATATGATGAGCAAACTGACTAACAATAACCAACTCAGTGCTATTGCTGAATATTTTCTGTGGAACATTTTGATCAGTAATTGTTGCATCCTCACACCCTATTGTGTTCTGTCTGCTTTAGTAAACCTGAACCATATATGAACAATTATTTTGACAAATCCACTGTGCAAGACAACAGTGATGAATCAGTTGAAGTGTATGATATCAGTTTCAACTGGGATAATTGCTGTTTGCAACTCAACCGACCATTCCTCTCTTGCTGCAACTCAACCGACCATTCCTCTCTTGCTGCAACTCAACCGACCATTCCTCTCTTGCTGCAACTCAACCGACCATTCCTCTCTTGCTGCAACTCAACCGACCATTCCTCTCTTGCTGCAACTCAACCGACCATTCCTCTCTTGCTGCAACTCAACCGACCGTTCCTCTCTTGCTGCAACTCAACCGACCGTTCCTCTCTTGCTGCAACTCAACCGACCGTTCCTCTCTTGCTGCAACTCAACCGACCATTCCTCTCTTGCTGCACTACCCTATGCAGATTACATAACATATACTTCCTTTGTCATATCCTACTTTATAAGCCATACATAGATTATATAGTGAACAGTAATAACACAGACTAAAGAAGTTCTAAATGCGAACCAATTGATTGCTTTATGTCCTTCAGAGCCTCAGAGGCAATGGTGAATGTTACTGAGTTATTTTGCATATTGTTGTGGTTCTTACACAAAATATATTTGTCATAAAATCATGAACTGTGCATGAATGATGACAAATACACAGGTGTATGGTTTATACCAGAAAACATGGATGGCAAGAAGGAGTAGTACGTGTTGGTCTATGTGCAATATCCCCGAAAACTAATGGTCTTTTACGTTTAAGAATTTCTTTCTTTCTAAAAAGAATATGTATGTATTTGCTGCATGCTGAGCTAGGTGATACATGCATTGACACATGCAGATGAATTTGCAACAAGAAAGGTTTAAGAAAGCATAATCCATTCAAGATGAGACCAGATGAGATTCTACCATGTGCCCTAGGTATACTGCTGCGCACCTGATGCCCTGTTAACCCATGTGCCCCAGGTATTTTGTAGCACACCCTTTCTCCTGTTAACCCATGTGTGCCAAGTATGCTGCAGTGCACCTGATGTCCTGTTGACTCATGTGCCCAAAGTATACTGCAGTGCACCTGATGTCCTGTTAACCCATGTTTTCCAGGTATACTGCAGTGCACCTGATGCCCTGTTAACCCATGTGTTCCAGGTATACTGCAGCACACCTGATGTCCTGTTAACCCATGTGTTCCAGGTATACTGCAGTGCACCTGATGTCCTGTTAACCCATGTGTTCCAGGTATACTGCAGTGCACCTGATGTCCTGTTAACCCATGTGTTCCAGGTATACTGCAGCACACCTGATGTCCTGTTAACCCATGTGTTCCAGGTATACTGCAGTGCACCTGATGTCCTGTTAACCCATGTGTTCCAGGTATACTGCAGCACACCTGATGTCCTGTTGACTCATGTGCCCAAAGTATACTGTAGTGCACCTGATGTCCTGTTAACCCATGTGTTCCAGGTATATTGCAGCACACCTGATGTCCTGTTTACCCATGTGTTCCAGGTATACTGCAGCACACCTGATGCCCTGTTAGCCCATGTGTTCCAGGTATACTGCAGCACACCTGATGCCCTGTTAGCCCATGTGTTCCAGGTATACTGCAGCACACCTGATGTCCTGTTAACCCATGTGTTCCAGGTATACTGCAGTGCACCTGATGTCCTGTTAACCCATATGTTCCAGGTATACTGCAGTGCACCTGATGTCCTGTTAACCCATGTGTTCCAGGTATACTGCAGCACACCTGATGTCCTGTTAACCCATGTGTTCCAGGTATACTGCAGTGCACCTGATGTCCTGTTAACCCATGTGTTCCAGGTATACTGCAGCACACCTGATGTCCTGTTAACCCATGTGTTCCAGGTATACTGCAGCAGCACCTGATGCCCTGTTAACCCATGTGTTCCAGGTATACTGCAGCACACCTGATGTCCTGTTAGCCCATGTGTTCCAGGTATACTGCAGCACACCTGATGTCCTGTTAATACTGCAGTGCACCATGTGTTCCATGTGTTCCAGGTATACTGCAGCACATGATGTCCTGCAGTGCACCTGATGTCCTGTTAACCCATGTGTTCCAGGTATACTGCAGCACACCTGATGTCCTGTTAACCCATGTGTTCCAGGTATACTGCAGTGCACCTGATGTCCTGTTAACCCATGTGTTCCAGGTATACTGCAGCACACCTGATGTCCTGTTAACCCATGTGTTCCAGGTATACTGCAGTGCACCTGATGTCCTGTTAACCCATGTGTTCCCTGCAGCACACCTGATGTCCTGTTAACCCATGTGTTCCAGGTATACTGCAGCACACCTGATGTCCTGTTAACCCATGTGTTCCAGGTATACTGCAGTGCACCTGATGCAGGTATACTGCAGCACACCTGATGTCCTGTTAACCCATGTGTTCCAGGTATACTGCAGCACACCTGATGTCCTGTTAACCCATGTGTTCCAGGTATACTGCAGTGCAGTGCACCTGATGTCCTGTTAACCCATGTGTTCCAGGTATACTTGCACCTGATGTCCTGTTAACCCATGTGTTCCAGGTATACTGCAGTGCACCTGATGTCCTGTTAACCCATGTGTTCCAGGTATACTGCAGTGCACACCTGATGTCCTGTTAACCCATGTGTTCCAGGTATACTGCAGCACACCTGATGTCCTGTTAACCCATGTGTTCCAGGTATACTGCAGTGCACCTGATGTCCTGTTAACCCATGTGTTCCAGGTATACTGCAGTGCACCTGATGTCCTGTTAACCCATGTGTTCCAGGTATACTGCAGTGCACCTGATGTCCTGTTAACCCATGTGTTCCAGGTATACTGCAGTGCACCTGATGTCCTGTTAACCCATGTGTTCCAGGTATACTGCATGTCCTGTTAACCCACCTGATGTCCTGTTGCCCCTGCACCTGATGCCCTTAACCCATGTTAACCCATGTGTGCCAAGTATCGCAACTGATGTCCTATGCAAAGAATGCAGTGCACCTGATGTCCTGTTAACCCATGTGTTCCAGGTATACTGCAGTGCACCTGATGTCCTGTTAACCCATGTGTTCCAGGTGCTGCAGCACACCTGATGTCCTTTTACCTGATGTCCAGGTATACTGCACACACCTGATGTCCTGTTAACCCATGTGTTCCAGGTATACTGCAGTACACCTGATGTCCTGTTAACCCATGTGTTCCAGGTATACTGCAGTGCACCTGATGTCCTGTTAACCCATGTGTTCCAGGTATACTGCAGCACACCTGATGTCCTGTTAACCCATGTGTTCCAGGTATACTGCAGTGCACCTGATGTCCTGTTGACTCATGTGCCCAAAGTATACTGCAGTGCACCTGATGTCCTGTTAACCCATGTGTTCCAGGTATACTGCAGCACACCTGATGTCCTGTTAACCCATGTGTTCCAGGTATACTGCAGTGCACCTGATGCCCTGTTAACCCATGTGTTCCAGGTATACTGCAGTGCACCTAATGCCCTGTTAACCCATGTGCCCCAGGTATTTTGCAGTGCACCTGATGCCCTGTTAACCCACATGTCGCTAGTATGCTGCAGTGCACCTGATGCCCTGTTAACCCATATGTCGCTAGTATGCTGCAGTGCACCTGATGCTCTGTTAACCCATATGTGGCTAGTATGCTGCAGTGCACCTGATGCCCTGTTAACCCATATGTCTCTAGTATGCTGCAGTGCACCTGTTGCCCTGTTAACACATGTCGCTAGTATGCTGCAGTGCACCTGATGCCCTGTTAACACATGTGTCCCAGGTATTCTTTACTTAGCTTCTGATGTAGATATTTGTAGTATGTAAACTTTAAGAATAGGGTGTTCAGAAACAAATGGTGTTGATGCAGCATGATGTTTTCAGTAACAACAGTTTTATAGTTTTACTTGATGTCTGTTTTCAGAAAGCCAACTACAAGTCGGGAGGCAACTCCAGGGTGTCGTCTCGGCGCCCGAGTCTTGTTCCACGGCGCCAGTCTACACAGGGATCCATTCTTCCTGCATCGGATGCTGATGGGGAGGTCTTGGCTGAGGGCGTGGAGGTAGGGGGCTTTCACTGTCTAAACTGTCCTTGAGCACAGAGATTGGGTCATTCATTGTGTGACCTGTGATGGCATAGAGGTAGAGAACATGCTTTGTCTGACCTGTGATGGCATAGAGGTAAAGAACATGCTTTGTCTGACCTGTGAGGGCATAGAGGTAGGGGCATGCTTTGTCTGATTTGTGATGGCATAGAGGTAAAGAATGAATACCCCACTCAGACACATTATACTGACTCCGAGCCAACCAGTCCTTGATGTACCCATTAATGCCGAGAGCCAGGCATGGACCAACAAGTACCATATTTTAAAGTCTTTCGGTATCGGGGTATCGAACCCACGACCTTCCCCTCTCCGGGTGGATGGTTGAACCACTACACCACGGAGGTGGTCTGTGATGGCATAGAGGTATGGAGCATGCTTTGTCTGACCTGTGAGGGCATAGAGGAAGGGGGCATGCTTTGTCTGACGTGTGAGGGCATAGAGGTAGGAGGCATTCATTGTCTGACCTGTGAGGGCATAGAGGAAGGGGGCATTCACTGTCTTACCTGTGAGGGCATAGAGGTGGGGGCATTCAATATCTGACCTGTGATGGCATAGAGGTAGGAGGCATGCTTTGTCTGACCTGTGATGGCATAGAGGTAAAGAATGAATACCCCACTCAGACACATTATACTGACTCCGAGCCGACCAGTCCTTGATGTACCCATTAATGCCGAGAGCCAGGCATGGACCAACAAGTACCGTATTTTAACGTCTTTCGGTATCGGGGTATCGAACCCACGACCTTCCGCTCTCCGGGTGGACGGTCGAACCACTACACCACGGAGGTGGTCTGTGATGGCATAGAGGTATGGAGCATGCTTTGTCTGACCTGTGAGGGCATAGAGGAAGGGGGCATGCTTTGTCTGACCTGTGAGGGCATAGAGGAAGGGGGCATTCACTGTCTTACCTGTGATGGCATAGAGGTGGGGGCATTCAATATCTGACCTGTGATGGCATAGAGGTAGGAGGCATGCTTTGTCTGACCAGTGGGGGCATAGAGGTATGGAGCATGCTTTGTCTGACCTGTGAGTTAATAGATGTAGGGAACATGCTTTGTCTGACCTGTGAGGGCACAGATGTAGGAAACATGCTTTGTCTGATCTGTGAGGGCATAGATGTAGAGAGCATGCTTTGTCTGACCTGTGAGGGCATAGAGGTAGAGAGCATGCTTTGTCTGACCTGTGAGGGCATAGAGGTAGGAGGCATTCATTGTCTGACCTGTGAAAGCATAGAGGTAGAGAGCATGCTTTGTCTGACCTGTGAGGGCATAGAGGTATGGAGCATGCTTTGTCTTACCTGTGAGGGCATAGAGGTAGAGAGCATGCTTTGTCTGACCTGTGAGAGCATAAAGGTAGAGAGCATGCTTTGTCTGACTTGTGAGGGCATAGATGTAGAGAGCCTATTTTGTCTGACCTGTGAGAGCATAGAGGTAGAGAGCATGTTTTGTCTGACCTGTGAGGGCATAGAGGTGGGAGGCATGCTTTGTCTGACCTATGAGGGCATAGAGGAAGGGGGCATTCACTGTCTTACCTGTGAGGGCATGGAGGTGGGATCATTCAATATCTGACTTGTGAGGGCATAGAGGAAGGGGGGCATGCTTTGTCTGACCTGTGAGGGCATAGAGGTAGAGAGCATGCTTTGTCTGACCTGTGAGAGCATAAAGGTAGAGAGCATGCTTTGTCTGACTTGTGAGGGCATAGAGGTAGAGAGCCTACTTTGTCTGACCTGTGAGAGCATAGAGGTAGAGAGCATGCTTTGTCTGACCTGTGAGGGCATAGAGGTAGGAGGCATTCATTGTCTGACCTGTGAGGGCATAGAGGTAGGAGGCATTCATTGTCTGACCTGTGAGGGCACAGAGGTACTAGAGAGCATGTAGGGATCATGCTTTGTCTGACCTGTAAGAGCATAGATGTAGGGATCATGCTTTGTCTGACCTGTGATAGCATAGAGGTAGGAGGCATGCTTTGTCTGACCTGTGATGGCATAGAGGTGGAGACCATGCTTTGTCTGACCTGTGATGGCATAGAGGTAGGAGGCATGCTTTGTCTGACCTATGATGGCATAGAGGTAGAGACCATGCTTTGTCTGGCTTGTGAGGGCATAGAGGTACTAGAGAGCATGTAGGGATCATGCTTTGTCTGACCTGTGAGGGCATAGAGATAGGAGGCATGCTTTGTTTGACCTGTGAGGGCATAGATGTAGGGAACATGCTTTGTCTGACCTGTGAGAGTATAGAGGTAGAGAGCATGCTTTGTCTGACCTGTGAGGGCATAGAGGTACTAGAGAGCATGTTTTGTCTGAACTGTGAGGGCATAGAGGTAGAGAGCCTGCTTTGTCTGACCTGTGAGGGCATAGAGGTAGAGAGCATGCTTTGTCTGACCTGTGAGGGCATAGAGGTATGGATCATGCTTTGTCTGACCTGTGAGGGCATAGAGGTATGGAGCATGCTTTGTCTGACCTGTGAGGGCATAGAGGTATGGAGCATGCTTTGTCTGACCTGTGAGGGCATAGAGGTAGAGAGCATGCTTTGTCTGACCTGTGAGGGCATAGAGGTATGGAGCATGCTTTGTCTGACCTGTGAGGGCATAGAGGTATGGAGCATGCTTTGTCTGACCTGTGAGGGCATAGAGGTAGAGAGCATGCTTTGTCTGACCTGTGAGGGCATAGAGGTATGGAGCATGCTTTGTCTGACCTGTGAGGGCATAGAGGTATGGAGCATGCTTTGTCTGACCTGTGAGGACATAAAGGTAGAGAGCATGCTTTGTCTGACCTGTGAGGGCATAGAGGTAGAAGGCATTCATTGTCTGACCTGTGAGGGCATAGAGATAGGAGGCATTCATTGTCTGACCTGTGAGGGCATAGAGATAGGAGGCACTCATTGTCTGACCTGTGAGGGCATAAAGGTAGAGAGCATGCTTTGTCTGACCTGTGAGGGCATAGAGGTATGGAGCATGCTTTGTCTGACCTGTGAGGGCATAAAGGTAGAGAGCATGCTTTGTCTGACCTGTGATGACATAGAGATAGGATGCATGCTTTGTCTGACCTGTGAGGGCATAGAGGTAGGAGGCATTCATTGTCTGACCTTTGAGGGCATAGAGATAGGAGGCATTCATTGTCTGACCTGTGAGGACATAGAGATAGGAGGCATTCATTGTCTGACCTGTGAGGGCATAGAGGTAGAGCATGCTTTGTCTTACCTTAGGAGGGGGCATAGAGGGGTATGGTAGAGAGCATGCTTTGTCTTACCTTTGGGGGCGGTGGGGTAGCCTAGTGGTTAAAGCGTTGGCTCGTCACGCCAAGGATCCGGGTTCGATTCCCCACATGGGCACAATGTGTTAAGCCCATTTCTGGTGTCCCCGGCCGTGATTTTGCTGGAATATAGCTAAAAGCGGCGTAAAACTAAACTCAGTCAGTCAGTCAGTCTTACCTGTGAGGGCATAGATGTAGAGAGCATGTTTTGTCTGACCTGTGAGGGAATAGATGTAGGGAACATGCTTTTGTCTGCCTAATACAAAGTTGTGAAGCTATCCTTGCTGTGGGTGAGGTACACATTGATGCTTGAAACTCACTAGAGTCAGAACTTTTACACATTTATTTTGGAACAGCCAGTCCATTTATTTCTGAAAGGTTTGAAGACATGGATTGGCTTGTGCTTGATTTGACCTTAGCATTGTCATCAACATCTTGTATGAGATAGTGTAGGACATACTGTCATGTTGCAGCCATATCTTACATCAGATGTAGAAACTGCCTTCTTTTGATGTCTTTCGTTCATTACACATCAGAGTTTGCGTTCATGTAGTCCTCTTTTGTGATCATATGCTGCCATTGGCCATCGCCACAGACATACAACTTGCTTGTATATGATGCAGCCGCTGTCTGAGACTTCACCGCGGGCGCTGTACCGGGCCCCGCCGGGGTACGAGGTACAGTCCCTGCACTACATCAGACAGTATATGGAGGACACAAGGATGGAGGAGAACCTCAGGCAGCTCCTCCGTATGTTAATGGAGCGCAAGAAGCTGCCGTATAATCCCTACCCTGGCCCTCGCATCTCGACTCCGTCCATATGTAGAGAAGTGAGTTATTCACTATATTTGAATTCAGTCTTAATAATACTTAAAACTACCATTCTTATGGCCTTAATGGCCACTTACTGATGGTAATTATAGGTGAACTGAAGGCAAGCGACTTGAAAGTCTTGAGTGGAACAACCTTTGACACTGTTATGTTTGGTTATCATGGTCTACTTTGGCTCAAATGACGTGATGCTCAATCATTGATGGCATAGTTATCTTAGCGCAACATTTGGTCTTTCGTATCAAAATCAATTTTTGAATGTACATTTTACATGTTTCAGATTTTACAGAGATTCACACAGCCCCGAAAAAATTGAATATGTGTTGGGTAAGTGAATTATAATCACAATAGAAGTCACAATAGATAGGGAACAGTGATCAATCTCATCAGAATCTTGGACTGATCGGAACTGATGAACTGATAATGAATGGTGATATCCAACCTGCCACTGTCACTGCTACCGTGGGTGAGAAACACACACCACTACACACGCCATGCACTGTTTATTTCCCAGGGACGCCCCTACAGGAAACACCTGTGCTGAATCTGTACACCCCGAAGGACAACGAGATTGTGTGGGGTCTGTCCAGTGTCCTGCGGACGGTCAACCCGACAGCCCTACAGAGATACAAGTGGCTCATGGAAAATATCACACCCAACCCTGACGATCTGTACCAGTCAGATGAATACTCGGTATGTTGGATACAGAGGAATCACAACTACTCCCGGGAAAGTTAATGGTAAAGTTATTGGTAAAGTTAATGGTAAGACAATGGTAAAGTTAATGGTAAAGTTATTGGTAAAGTTATTGGTAAAGTTAATGGTAAAGTTAATGGTAAGACAATGGTAAAGTTAATGGTAAAGTTAATGGTAAAGATAATGGTAAAGTTAATGGTAAAGACAATGGTAAAGTTAATGGTAAAGATAATGGTAAAGTTAATGGTAAAGGTATTGGTAAAGTTAATGGTAAAGTTAATGGTAAGACAATGGTAAAGTTAATGGTAAAGTTAAGGGTAAGACAATGGTAAAGTTAATGGTAAAGTTAATGGTAAGACAATGGTAAAGTTAATGGTAAAGATAATGGTAAAAACAATGGTAAAGTTATTGGTAAAATTAATGGTAAAGACAATGGTAAAGTCATTGGTGAAGTTAATGGTAAAGTCATTGGTGAAGTTAATGGTAAAGTTATTGGTAAAGACAATGGTAAAGTTAATGGTAAAGATAATGGTAAAGTTAATGATAAAGTTAATGGTAAAGATAATGGTAAAGATATTGTTAAAGTTAATGTGAAAGATAATAGTAAACTTAATGGTAAAGATAATGGTAAAGTAAATGGCAAAGATACTGATAAAGATAATGGTAAAGATAATGGTCAAGTTAGTGGTAAAGATAATGGTAAAAATAATGGTAAAGTTAGTGGTAAAGATAATGGTAAAGACAATGGTCAAGTTATTGGTAATGTTAATGGTAAAGATACTGACAAAGATAATGGTAAAGTTAATGCTAGAGTTAATGGTAAAGTTAATGGTAAAGATAATGGTAAAGTTAGTGGTAAAGATAATGGTTAAGTTAGTGGTAAAGATAATGGTTAAGTTAGTGGTAAAGATAATGGTTAAGTTAGTGGTAAAGATAATGGTCAAGTTAATGGTCAAGTTAGTGGTAAAGTTAATGGTAAAGATAATGATAAAGATAATGGTAAAGTTAATGTAAAGTTAAAAAGATAATTGTAGAGTTAGTTGTAAAGTAATGGTAAAATTATTGGTATAGTTAATGGTAAAGACAATGGTAAAGTTAATGGTAAAGTTAATGATAAAGATAATGGTAAAGTTATTGGTAAAGTTAATGGTAAACATAATAGTAAAGTTATTGGTAAAGTAATGGTAAATTTAATGGTTAAGTTCTTGGTAAAGTTATTGGTAAAGTTAATGGCAAGACAATGGTTAAGATAATGTTAAAGTTATTGGTAAAGTTATTGGTAAAGACAATGGTTAAGTTATTGGTAAAGTTAATGGTAAAGTTAGGGGTTAAGTTAATGTTAAAGTTAATGGTTAAGACAATGGTAAAGTTAATGGTAAAATTAATGGTAAAGACAATGTTAATTTTTTTTGGTAAAGACAATGGTAAAGTTATTGGTAAAGTTAATGTTAAATTTAATGTTAAAGTTATTGGTAAAGTTAATGGTAAAGTTAATGGTATGGATAATTGTAAAGTTAATGGTAAAGATACTGACAAAGATAATCGTAAAGTTAATTGTAAATATAATGATAAAGTTAATGGTAAAGATAATGGTAAAGTTTGTGGTAAAGGTAATGGTAAAGTTAATATGAAAGATAATGGTAAAGTTAATGGTAAAGATACTGATAAAGTTATTGGTAAAGTTAATGATAAAGATAATGGTAAAGATCTTGATAATGTTAATGGTAAAGATAATGGGAAAAATAATGGTAAAGGTAATGGTAAAGATACTGATAAAGTTATTGGTAAAGTTAATGGTAAAGATATTGGTAAAGTTAATATGAAACATAATGGGAAAGATAATGGTAAAGTTAATGGTAAAGATAATGGTAAAGTTAATGATTGAGATAATGGTAAAGATCATGATAAAGTTAATGGTAAAGATAATGGGAAAAATAATGGTAAAGGTAATGGTAGAGATAATGGTAAAGATATTGGTAAAGTTATTGGTAAAGTTAATGATAAAGATAATGGGAAAGATAATGGTAAAGATAATGCTACTTGACCCCAGTGCAACAGTCAGCCTTTCCCCAGATGTTACTCAACATAAACATCTGAGATGATCTTCACAAAATAACTCTAATTACCTTCAAAAACAAAACTAAAGCAAAACACTGTTTGTTGATGGGAACAGTTATTTGTAAATGGACCAAGTAAAACCCGGGGAAAAAGAAGGACACTTGAAGTCGCTGTATGTATACTGAAAGGCAAAAGAAACGTCGTAATATTAGAAATGACATTTGAGTATCAATGGAGTATTTGAACCTATTTTTTTAAATATACACCAGAAGTCAAGTTTGAGGAAATATGAAGCGTGGTCGTATAGCCTGCATTGCCCAATAAAGTATTGTTTGAGATTGAAGTTAGAAATGTTTTTGTTTTTTGGAGAGGGAAAAGTTCCCACAAAAACAACATTGAAATCGAGATGCACGTGCATCATAAATGCATTCAGGCATAAATTGCCCGGCTTGAATGGCAATTGTTGTTTGTGCTGGGACATGTCAAGGGGTGTGATGTGGAGTGGTTGTTGTATCTGTACCAACACTTGATGTTTGTGCTGGGACATGTCAAGGGTGTGATGTGGAGTGTATGTTGTACCTGTACCAACACTTGATGTTTGTGCTGGGACATGTCAAGGGTGTGATGTGGAGTGTATGTTGTATCTGTACCAACACTTGATGTTTGTGCTGGGACATGTCAAGGGGTGTGATGTGGAGTGTATGTTGTATCTGTCCCAACACTTGATGTTTGTGCTGGGACATGTCAAGGGGTGTGATGTGGAGTGGTTGTTGTACCTGTACCAACACTTGATGTTTGTGCTGGGACATGTCAAGGGGTGTGATGTGAAGTGGTTGTTGTATCTGTACCAACACTTGATGTTTGTGCTGGGACATGTCAAGGGTGTGATGTGGAGTGGTTGTTGTATCTGTACCAACACTTGATGTTTGTGCTGGGACATGTCAAGGGGTGTGATGTGAAGTGGTTGTTGTATCTGTACCAACACTTGATGTTTGTGCTGGGACATGTCAAGGGGTGTGATGTGGAGTGGTTGTTGTATCTGTACCAACACTTGATGTTTGTGCTGGAACATGTCAAGGGTGTGATGTGGAATGTATGTTGTACCTGTACCAACACTTGATGTTTGTGCTGGGACATGTCAAGGGGTGTGATGTGGAGTGGTTGTTCTATCTGTACCAACACTTGATGTTTGTGCTGGGACATGTCAAGGGGTGTGATGTGGAGTGTATGGTGTACCTGTACCAACACTTGATGTTTGTGCTGGGACATGTCAAGGGGTGTGATGTGGAGCGTATGTTGTATCTGTACCAACACTTGATGTTTGTGCTGGGACATGTCAAGGGTGTGATGTGGAGTGTATGTTGTACCTGTACCAACACTTGATGTTTGTGCTGGGACATGTCAAAGGGGTGTGATGTGGAGTGTATGTTGTACCTGTACCAACACTTGATGTTTGTGCTGGGACATGTCAAGGAATGTGATGTGGAGTGGTTGTTGTATCTGTACCAACACTTGATGTTTGTGCTGGGACATGTCAAGGGGGTGTGATGTGGAGAGGTTGTTGTATCTGTACCAACACTTGATGTTTGTGCTGGGACATGTCAAGGGGTGTGATGTGGAGTGGTTGTTGTATCTGTACCAACACTTGATGTTTGTGCTGGGACATGTCAAGGGGTGTGATGTGGAGTGTATGTTGTACCTGTACCAACACTTGATGTTTGTGCTGGGACATGTCAAGGGGTGTGATGTGGAGTGGTTGTTGTACCTGTACCAACACTTGATGTTTGTGCTGGGACATGTCAAGGGGTGTGATGTGAAGTGGTTGTTGTACCTGTACCAACACTTGAAGTTTGTGCTGGGACATGTCAAGGGGTGTGATGTGGAGTGGTTGTTGTACCTGTACCAACACTTGATGTTTGTGCTGGGACATGTCAAGGTGTGATGTGGAGTGTATGTTGTACCTGTACCAACACTTGATGTTTGTGCTGGGACATGTCAAGAGGTGTGATGTGGAGTGGTTGTTGTATCTGTACCAACACTTGATGTTTGTGCTGGGACATGTCAAGGGTGTGATGTGGAGTGGTTGTTGTACCTGTACCAACACTTGATGTTTGTGCTGGGACATGTCTCAAAGGGTGTGATGTGGAGTGGTTGTTGTATCTGTACCAACACTTGATGTTTGTGCTGGGACATGTCAAGGGAATTGTGATGTGGAGTGGTTGTTGTATCTGTACCAACACTTGATGTTTGTGCTGGGACATGTCAAGGGTGTGATGTGGAGTGGTTGTTGTATCTGTACCAACACTTGATGTTTGTGCTGGGACATGTCAAAGGGTGTGATCAATGGGTATGTATGTTGTACCTGTACCAACACTTGATGTTTGTGCTGGGACATGTCAAGAGGGTGTGATGTGGAGTGGTTGTTGTATCTGTACCAACACTTGATGTTTGTGCTGGGACATGTCAAGGGGTGTGATGTGGAGTGGTTGTTGTACCTGTACCAACACTTGATGTTTGTGCTGGGACATGTCAAGGGGTGTGATGTGGAGTGGTTGTTGTACCTGTACCAACACTTGATGTTTGTGCTGGGACATGTCAAGAGAGGTGTGATGTGGAGTGTATGTTGTACCTGTACCAACACTTGATGTTTGTGCTGGGACATGTCAAGGGGTGTGATGTGGAGTGTATGTTGTATCTGTACCAACACTTGATGTTTGTGCTGGGACATGTCAAAGGGTGTGATGTGGAGGTATGTTGTATCTGTACCAACACTTGATGTTTGTGCTGGGACATGTCAAGAGGTGTGATGTGGAGTGGTTGTTGTATCTGTACCAACACTTGATGTTTGTGCTGGGACATGTCAAGGGGTGTGATGTGGAGAAGGTTGTTGTATCTGTACCAACACTTGATGTTTGTGCTGGGACATGTCAAAG